AAAAAAAAAAAAAAAAGAAATGCTGAAAGGTTTTTAGTTAAACTATAATTTTATATTTACTTAGCTTTGATTCATAATAATTTATAAATTTGCAGTAATTGTGAATAATAAAATGTTAGAAACATTAGTTATAGGTATAGCTGATTGGCATTTTTCTACCTGTGGCAGCAGGTTTCATAAACAAAAGAAACAATTGATGATATCTAGTACCCAATTACAAAAAAATCATGTTTTTAAAAAAAAAAAAAACAAAAAAACCTTAAAATTCTTTAATGTCTGTTGTATGGTTTGACTGCAGTGTTCCTGCTGTCAATTTTTTGAGAAATAGTGATTGATTCCTATATAAACATGTACCCGGTGCCTACCAATAATATCTCTAGGTTATTTAACATTGGGTAAAATACTTCTATCCTTTTTGGTGAGGGTGACAGAGAAAAAAAGGTTAGATGAAATGTCTGAAATTACGAAAGTCTTCTGAATGTGAATTAGAGTACTTCTTTTATAACAGTCTTGTAGCAGCTACTGCCTACAGTGGACATTAAAAGATTTGTTTCTCTCAAGCTATCATGGAGCTTTCACAGGCATAGGCTTTTTACTTTTTAAAAATTCTTCCAATATTGACCCAAAGTTGCCCTTCCTAAAATGCTAAACTTTTTTGGTATTTTATATAAAGCATGAAAATTGTATTTTTGAATAACGCATTGAGAATACACTAATTTATAGGAACTGTCTCTTTAGTGTTAATTTTAAAGCAGCAACAGGAATGTTATTTTATTAGAAATGCCAAAAGACCAAGTGTGTTTGCAAAATGAATTAAACTGCAGACAATTGAGTTCAAGTTATCTGAATTTAGTATAGTGAGAAAAAATTTGCAAGTCTAGGAACTGTTTCTCAAATAATTTTGGCACATATATTTGTGATTACTCATGAGACCATTTTATTTATTTTATTTTTTAATATTTATTTTTAAATTAAATTTTGTAGGTTTGGTGTTTGACTCTTTTTGTCAAAAAATTATTTCAGTGCTTTTGGGGAACAAGTGGTATATGGTTACATGGATAAGTTTTTTGGTGGTGATTTCTGAGATTTTGGTACACCTATCACCTGAGCTGTGTACACTGCACACCATGAGACCATTTTTAAAACTGCGCATTTCTAACCAGCAGTGAGACCTGTTAGATGCATTTTTAACTTTCAAGGAAGGATTTCAAGAAGGTGAAGTCTGATAAACAGTTGTTGTTTATAAGCTTCCAATTATTAAAGAGTAGTTCATGTTGATAGCATGAGAATGAAATTGTCTTTTGAAGTTAGCTTAGAATGTAGTACGTTGCAAGAAATATATTTCTTAAATGTCTTCAACATTTTAATTTTTTTGACAAACTAGAATTTGTGTGAAGTGGAAGGCAGTGAGTGATCATCAGACAAGTTCCATAAGGTTTTTGTTGTTGTTTTTTGAGATGGAGTCCTGTTCTGTCATCCAGGCTGGAGTGCAGTGGCGCGATCTCAGCTCACTGCAACCTCTGCCTCCCAGATTCAAATGATTCTCCTGCCTCAGTCTCCCAAGTAGCTGGGAATACAGGTGCCCACTACCATGCCCAGCTATTTTTTTGTATTTTTGGTAGAGATGGGGTGTTGCCGTGTTGACCAGGCTGGTCTCAAACTCTGGCCTCAAGTGATTTGGGATTAGAGGTGTGAGCCACTGTGCCTGGCCAAGTTCCATAAGGTTTTTAAAAACATAAGTAGGTATAGAAATGGCACTCACTTTACTTTTGTTAGCGAGGTTTTGGCAGAATCTTTGGTGAAGAAGAGAAATCTTCATTTTCCCAGCTTTCTTTAATTTTGAAATAGATTCTTCTATAAACTCTGATATCCAGGTATTATTTTCTTTTATGAAACTTTATAAGAATAAAACATGTTACTAAAAATATATTTATACCCCTTTTATGTTAGATTTTGTTAAAATTAATATTGTTTTGTTTCTTATTATCCATTTGAATATAGGTGTCCTGTCCATAACACATAGCTTGCTGAGATGATAAACATTTACTTACTTGTTTTGAAAAGTACTTAAAAAAAAATTGCCAGTCTTTGAGTGAAGCTTTTGGGTTTTGGGTTATCCTTTTACTGTTATATCATTATATATAATCATGGTGTAATTACATCTGAGTAAATGGGAGATAGCTATTATTGGGTTTTAGAAATTAAAATTTGTGCATTAGTTCCCAAAGTATAAAAGAACCCAAATCTTACTTCAAATGTGTATAACTATCTTCTTGTTTCAGAAATGTGAAAATCACAATGTAAAGCACTTACTCAGATAATGTTTTATTTTATTTTTGAGACAGAGTCTCACTCTGTTAACCAGGCTGGAGTGTAGTAGTGTGATGTCAGCTCACTGCAACCTCCGCCTCCCAGGTTAAGCCATTCTTCTGCCTCAGCCTCCTGAATAGCTGGGACTATGGGTGCATGCCACTGCGTTTGGGTAATTTTTGTAATCTTAATAGCGATGGGGTTTCACCATGTTGGCCAGGCTGGTCTTGAACTCTTGACCTCAAGTGATCCTCCCGCCTTGGCCTCCCAAAGTGCTGGGAATACAGGCATGAGCCACCGTGCCTGGCCTCACATAATATTTTAAGTGGCATCCATGTAAAACATGGCAACAGAAAGACTTTTTAAAAATTAGTTTTTATGTAGACTCTAAACTTTCAACTCTGTACCTTTGTTTTAGGTTTTTATCTTGGCATAGTTTTTTTTTTTCTTTTTATATTTTCTCTATTTTTTTTTACTTACAATTTTTTTTTAGCAGTTACATTTTTTCTTTCAGGGAAAGTAGAATATTATGAATTGTAGAGAATATTTTTCATATACCTTAAACCTGTTAAGTAGTATTAAACTAAAACAGTTTAGGTTGCTATATATGGCATAGGGATTCCAACATTTTTCATTGCTTTAGTGAAATAATATAATTTTTACTGAAGATAATGGTAAGAATATTTCTAAATTTTTTGTGGATGTCACCTCATTGAAAATATCAGTTGTGTATTTATAGGTAATAACCACCTTTAAATGTTCTGGTAATGCATACTGAAAAAAGGGACAGCTTGCCAGGCATGGTGGCTCACACCTGTAATCTAGCAGTTTGAGAGGCTGAGGTGGGAGGATCGCTTGTGACCAGGCATTCAAGACAAGCCTGGCAACATAAGACTCCGTGTCTACAAAAAATGAAAACAATTAGTTGGTCATAGTGGCAGGAGCCTGTAGTCCCAGCTGCTTGGGAGGCTGAGGTGGGAGGATTGCTTGGGCCTGAGATCAAGGCTGCAGTGAGCTTTGATTAGGCCACTGCATTCTAGCCTGTGCAACAGACTAACCCTGTCTCAGGGGGGAAAAAAAAAATTCCTACTTTTAGAAAATAACTCTTACATACTTGAAGTGTACAGATGGTTTCATCTGTCGTTTGTATTGTAGTCTGTCACATACTGTATCAGTCCAAACTTTTTGTTTGTTTTGGAGATGAAGTCTCCCTCTATCACCCAGGCTGGAGTGCAGTGGCATGATCTCAGCTCACTGCAACTTCTGCCTCCGGGATTCAAACAATTCTCCTGGCTTAGCCTCCCAATTAGTTGGGACTACCGGCACATGCTGCCATGCCTGGCTAATTTTTTTGTATTTTAGTAGAGACAGGGTTTCACCATATCACCCAGACTGGTCATGAACTCCGAAGCTCAGACAGTCCTTCAGCCTTGGCCTCCCAAAGTGCTAGGATTACAGGAGTGAGCCACTGTGCCTGGCCCAGACCAAACTTTTATTATGAGTAATTGCTTACTGGCTTTCTAAAATAGTGTCCATTTCAGAGCTTCTAAGTGTGAACAAAGAACCTTGCCTAGTAATCTTTTTGATCGGGTCCCAGAATCCTTCTGTTCCAGAGTCGGCG